AAGTGGCAAGGGTTCTAAGGCAGCTAACTGTAGAGTGGGAGCCTTTCATATGATGAATTCCATGGAGAAGAAGGCTTCTACAAAGAGGCCTAAGAAGAATGTCAAGAGTGGCAAAGTGGGCAAGCATTCAGATCCTAAACAACTTGTGGAGTCTAAAGATGAAGACAAATGAAAGAAACCTATGTATAGTGGGGAATCATCAGGTAAGTTGAACAAGAGAAAGTCATCTAACAAAGTTTTGATGTTTGTGGATGTAAAACTCAATGGGAAGCCCCTCCGTGCTTTGATTGACACAAGGGCCACCCACAACTTTGTTGCTGGAACCAAAGTTGAAAGACTTGGGCTATCTTTAGAGAATGATGGTAGTCGCATCAAGGAGTTTAACTCAGCAGTGCAGCCCATCTATGGGGTTGCAAAATCTATTCCTTTGAAGGTTAATACTTGGGAAGGAAGAGTAGATTTCACCGCAGTACCCATGGATGACTTCTAAGCCATCCTTGGGTTAGATTTCTTGATAAGTACAAAGACGATAGTCATGCCTTATTCTAATAGTATGTGTGTTATGGGGATAAGCCATATCTTATTCCTGCTATGGCTACCAACAACAGTGACCGGTTTGTCTCAGCTATGCAACTCAAGAGGGGTGTTAGGCATGGTGAGCAAACTTGGGTTGCCGCATTGAAGTTGAATGAAGCTCTTGAATCTATTTCTGTCCCAACTGCAGCCAATAAGGTCTTAAGGCAATTTGTAGATGTCATGCTTGAATAGTTGCCTAAGGAGTTGCCTCCACGCCGGGGTGTGGATCATGCTATTGAGTTAGTGCTAGGGGCAAAGCCACCAGCTTGTGCACCATATAGAATGGTTATTCCTAAGTTGAATGAATTAAGGAAGTAACTTACAGAGTTATTAGAAGAAGGCTTCATTAGGCCATCAAAGGCATCATTTGGTGCACCTGTTTTGTTCCAAAAGAAGCATGACAGTAATCTTCGCTTATGTGTGGATTATCGAGTACTCAATAAGCTGACCATCAAGAACAAGTATCCCCTTTCTCTCATTGCAGATTCATTTGATCAATTGAGCAAAGCAAGGTATTTTACAAAGTTAGATTTTCGATCGGGGTACTATCAAGCAAGAATTGCCGAGGGGGACGAGCCCAAAACTACATGGGTTACTCGCTATGGTTTCTATGATGTCATTTGGCTTAACCAATGCCCCAACAACATTTTGCACCATGATAAATGAAGTTTTTCAAGAGTACTTAGACCAATTCGTGGTAGTATACTTGGACGACATTGTGATCTATAGCTCTACTTTAGAAGAGCACGTGGAACATCTCAAGAAAGCACTGCCCAAGTTGAGGGAGCACAAGCTTTATGTCAAGCTAGAGAAGTGTTCTTTTGCCCAAGAGAGGATTAAGTTCCTAGGGCACATTGCTGAGCATAGATGCATCAAAATGGACCAAGAGAAGGTCAAGGCTATTCAAGAGTGGCAGCCACCCGCTAATGTCTTAGAGTTGCGGTTATTCCTTGGGTTGGCTAATTATTATCACAAGTTTGTTGAAGGCTACTCAAGACTAGCTTTCCCATTGACAGAGTTACTAAAGAAGGGCAAGCCATATGTTTGGGCGGAAAAGTGTCAACAAGCCTTGAAAGACGCTATGTCTAAAGACTCTATTCTTGCTCTACCTAACTTAGGTAAAGCTTTTAAGATACAAACTGATGCATCTGATTTTGCTTTGGGTGGTGTTCTTTTGCAGGATAGTCACCCAATTGCCTATGAGAGTAGGAAGCTTAATGATGCCGAATGGAGATATCCGACTCATGAAAAAGAGTTACTTGCAGTAGTGCATTGTCTGAGGACTTGGAGGCACTACATCTTGGGCTCACGATTTGTTGTAAAGACTGACAACACGACGGTTAGCCATTTTTTAACACAGCCCAAGCTAAGCGCACGACAAGCACGGTAGAAGTTGGTAGAGTTTGATTTTGCCTTAGAAAACAAGGTTGGTGCCACTAACCATGTTGCTGATGCACTAAGTAGGAAGGCGGAGCTTGTTATGTGTCTTCATGTATGTTCACTTACTTCCATTTCAACCACCATCAAGGAGAAAATCAAGGCTCATCTAGACAAGGATGCTATGGCAGAGTTTCTTATGAACCTTGTCAAAATGGGCAAGACTCGCCAATTTTGGGTGCAAGATGGACTACTAATGACAAGAGGCAACCGTATCTTTGTACCCAGGGCTGGTGATTTGAGAAAGACGCTTCTTAGGGAGTGCCATGATACACCTTAGGTAGGACATCCAAGTTGGGAGCAAACATTGGCCGTGGTAAAGCAAGGATATTATTGGCCCCAAATGCGTGATGATGTGGAAGAATATGTCCACACTTGTCTCACTTGCCAACAAGACAAGGTTGAACATAAGAAGAAAGAAGGTTTGCTTGAACATTTACCCATGCCTAAACGTCTGTGGGAAAGTGTATCACTTGATTTCATCACTGGGCTGCCTAAAGTGGGAGACATCGGGACCATCTTGACTATTGTGGACCGGTTCTCCAAGTATGCCACCTTTGTAGTTGCCCCAAAGTATGTTTCAGCAGAGGAGATTGCCCGACTCTTCTTGAAGCACATTGTTAAATATTAGAGTGTGCCTAAAAGTATTGTTAATGACTGAGATTCGCGTTTCGTTGGTAACTTTTGGATGGAGTTATTCAAGCTTCTTGGGTCACAACTTAATACTTCATTAAGCTACCATCCGGAGACGGATGGGCAAACCGAACGCTTTAACTGTATGCTCGAGGAGTATTTTGCCACTTTGTCAATGCTAATCAACGAAATTGAGTGCAACTTCTTGATGTAGCACAGTTATGTTTCAACTCTCAAAAGAGTAGCTCTACGGGCAAGAGTGCTTTTGAGATAGTGAATTGGCAGCAGCCACTGTTGCCCCACACAGTGGATGGACCTTATAAAAGAAAGTCTACCAGGGCTTATCAATTTGCTAAGGAATGGAAGAGAAACCATGACATTACTCGTGTTTATCTTGAAAAAACAGCAAGTAAAATGAAGAACTGGGCTGATGAAAAGAGGAGGCCACTTGAGTTTAGAGTTGGGGATCAAGTTCTTGTCAAATTCAACCTTGAGCAACGCAAGTTTATGAGGGGAAGAGACAAAAGGCTAGTGTGCAAGCATAAGGGATCGGTAGCCATTCTAAAGAGAATTGGCAAGTATGCTTACAAGATAGATGCTCTATCTTGGCTAAAAGTGCACCCGGTTTTTCATGTGAGTTATTTGAAGCCTTACTATTTAAACAAGGAAGATACAATCCGAAATGAGTTGAAACACCAAACCATCACAGCCAAAGCAAAGAAAAAGTTTGTTGAATCTATCTTGGCCGATCGGGTGAAAATGGTTTACAAGAAGAAACAAAGGCAATACTTGGTAAAATGGAGAGGCTTTGGAGATGAAAAAATCAGCTAGGAACGAGAGGTGGACTTGTCGGCTTTTCAAGACGAGATTGATACTTATTGGGCAAAGTCGTTGAGGGCGTCAACCGTTCAAGTGGGGGAGACTGTCAAGGTGCGCCCATCCAAGGGTCAACACCTTAATGTTACACTCATTTGTGCCCTTTGGAGAGCTAAAAACATGCCCAAGAAATTGTTGGTACAAGTGCAAACCAAAGCCCAAGGCATGGTGCAAGACAGCCCACAGCATGCCATGAAGGAACCTATGCCAACAACCAGCCAACAACAATTTTTGGAGAGTCAAATGTCTTTTTTGCCTTTTAAATTTTTATGTAAATACCTTAGTGTTAAAGGTATTTTGGGTCCAAATATTGTAATTTTTCTCTTTTTGTAGAATTTTTAAAAATCCATTATGACTCCTCAAACATAGTGAATGTGTTTCCTTTTCCTTTTGCCAACTAGGAAATGACTTAACAAGCTATATTAAGGAGGGGGTACCCAAATGTTTAATCAAATCACTTGTACCTTTAAAGTACCCCAACCTAGCCAATGGTAAGGCAACTTTTGTAACACTTTTGGTGTATTGTTCAACTATTGTAATATATATATATATATATATATTTTTTATCAATGAAAAGTTTATTTTGCCTTTAAATTGTGCAAAGCTTTCTATTGTTGCTTGCTTTAATTTTAACTTGTTTGCTAAATTTTGACTTGTCTCCAAACTTATTGGCTCATCAACTAATCGATATTATGTTTATTTGTCTTTGCAAACTCTTTGAGCTATCTTGGCAGGTTAGTGAAGAGAATTAACTAGCGTCACACACACTTGCATATCTATTAACAAGACTTCCGTACAACCAGTGTGTGACACTTGGCCAATCCAATTTTTGCTATTATGAGAATTTCACAAAACAGGTTCGCTATTATTGTTATTTTATTAAGTTAAAGGCAATTTGATGAGGACTCAACTCACTTGACGGGTTGGGACCTAATCACCTACTGAAGGGCTATCCTCATTATGTAGCCTCATAATGGCACTTTTAAAATGACAAAAACAACTCCAACCCTCTCTTTTTCTTACTTCCACACCTAACTAAAATAAATGAATTATGTTATGGAAATATATATATAATATATATATATATATAAAACGATGTGGCTGAATTGTGAGCTTATCATTTAAAAAAAAAAAAATCCAGCAAGATGTCTCATTTTAATAGAAGATTGTGTATAGAAATTATGGAAGAATTGCAATTTTCCTAAATAAATTAGCAAGTATATACAAATTAGAAACTAATTGTTAGGAGGGTTATGATCCTATTAAGGTCCACAATACTTGCATTATTATGTTCCATGCTGCTACTCACTCATCCATTGATAGCTCATTTTTTGCAAGTATTTGCAGCGTGCATATCTTGCTCCCCTTTCTTAATGGAAAAACAAAAATGTTGAATAAGTCAGCTTTAAGATCATATTGAACAAATGTCACTAGTTTGGATGAATATTTAGATGAAATTCAATGCAGCAGTTGACAAAGAATAAAACAACTCATCTAATATTTCTTTCATTTATCCTCAACATGGCAATCATGTCTTGTTGCATAAGATTACATTGTAATCCCAAAACCTCAAACCCAAGATCTACCATTCATCCTTAATGTTCCTGAAATTTCGCATTGCACACCACAAAACTAGAGAGAAACCGACCACAAAGCATATTACTTACACTGAGCATATGTTTTAGCCCTGCCCAAAACGAATTAGCTGACACTAAAAATATACAAGATTTCTATATGCTCAACAAGAAGACAAAAAGCAAAAATATACGGTTACACCAACTATTAGCTGAGACAGAAATGAAGTATACAATCATCACGCTGCTCTGAAGCCATCGCCAAAAACTTGAAGTGAGCGGTGTACATGTCAGCTTCTGGGACAAGAATTGGTTGCAGAAATTATTTACACCGTCTTACAAGTTAGTGATGAGCTATAGTTAAAAGTCAGTGCAAAGGAAGCTCTCGTAAGTTGTCCCTTGGAGTGTCTTGTTGATTTCATCCCAATTTTTAATGTGTTCTGACAAGGGTCCTTTGTGTATCTTAACTTGCCGGCTTGTTAAGTTCATCACTGGGAGCCTTAGAAACTCTTGAACGTCCACCAATTTCTGCTACAATGGACAGAGGAGAGTGAGTTAAGGCATACCAGATAGCTAATCAAAGCAAGAAGTGAAACCGTCTCATCACAGACTGAGCATCAATATCTTATCAAATGGTAGATGCTGTATGAAGAAATTACTGATGTCAGATGGAAACTATTTCAAGGCATCCGAGAAATATATGTTCAATCCGACTCCAAATTTTTCAAGATAAAATTTGCAGGAAATATTATGACAGACAATATAAGTTACAACAAGAACTTGTTGGGGCACAAGAAGAACACATGGTATGGATAAATGAGTGCGTGTTATGAATTTCACGTTTAAAAAATTTGCTAATATCATGTGATGTTTAAAACATTGTTGAACCCATCCTCTCAAGAGCTTCAAATTTCAGATGAGTTGGTTGAGAACAAAACTATCACTGATATATGAGACTTTCAAAAAAATTGGAGGGATCTGTTATAGTCCTCACAGTGTGATTCTTGATAAGGTCTTCATAGTACAAAATGATGTGCCGAGTGCTGTGAAAGTATTCCAATGCCTTGGCCGCCGTCACATCCATTTGCTTCAAATCATTCATCACTGACGCAGAATTAATTGTTGGCTTGTATTTTGACAATGTTTCTGCCTGTAATAAGTAACCTACTATGAGATCACAATCACAGCACGCATGAGCGTGTGTGCAGAGAGAGAGAGAGAGAGAGAGAGAGAGACTTCTTCTGGTGAGTGGACATGAGCTTTGTGGGTCCCATTCAATTGCTTAGCATGTTTATCATAGGAATTTGCAAGCACTGAAAGCAACCGACGCAACAGATTTCTTCGAAAGAGAAATATCAGAGAAACACCTCTACTATTGAAGTACTCCAAAATTTCGTTATGGTGCTCCATCAATCCCTGAACATTGAAAACTTGCACTGAATATCCTCACAAGCCAAGTACAAACAGTAGTTTCAGAATCTAGAAAAACCACTAGCCAGTTACCATGTTCCAATTTCCAGAAACAGAGATTTATATTAGACAAGAAGCAATTGCAAGTTCAATATTTCTAAAACTTCTGTTTTAGTCATCAGTGACTCAGGATAGAAATGGTTAATGCCTTGATGGTATTATAAGAGATCCAACTTCCAAGGAAGCTCTTAAGCCCTTGGCTAATTTCCCTAGAGATATGTGCAAATATATAGTTTGATGGGACCGTGGCATTACAAAGGATGGCCCTACAGAATGACTAGAAATTGGATTGCATAAAATATAAAATGGCACTTGTTCACAAAAGAATAACTAAAACACTTAGAAACATTTTGCATTGTGCAACTATGTTATACAAATCATGGTCCGTGATTCAAGGTCTCCACTCACCCACATCTGGTTACTGGAGTTGCAAATTTATCAGCACTAGTACCATTAACCTAGTTCTGCTGTTGGTTAACAGTAAATTTGAAATTGATTCCACAAGGATGAGATCGTATGTACTTTCCAAAAACCAAATCCTAGACACTGGGAGGTCATATTCCAAGACTATTTTAGAAAAAGGAAAACAAATACAAAGTCTCAGTCAACATGTTTGATTCTTCTTCTACCGTGAAAATAATGATACCACGGGCATTAGGCCCACAATATGTAACTCAGTACAAACATCACATAATACACTGTTTTTCAAAGATATTACTATTTAATGACCTGAACAGGACTGCACAATCGCAAGAACCCTAGAAGGAGTAAGCTTCTCTATGTCAATATAACAAAGATGAGAATCCTACTCTAAATTATATCCACAGAGGAAGCTCCAGGTAACAAATTTAACAATGGACTCAAAAGTTTAGAGTTTGCGATTTGGCAGATCTTAATTGAGTTGTCAACTACTCGGAGAGCATGGATCTCTAGTGGTTTTAAATCAATAACATGCCCCTTAAGTGTATTGGCAACACTTTCAGGTAGTGTTTTGGTTCATCCCAACAAAATGTCCATCATCACGTTTGGTTCATTAAATAATGATGAAAAAAGCGTTGCAAATGGAATAATTATTCACCATTATAAGGGAATGGTCATTCCATAAGGAGGTTAAGGAATGACCATTCCACCTTCATTCCAGTGAGCCAAACACTACCTCAGTAGCAGAGAAACATAAAATCACAAAGTAATTCCAGGTTTCTACTAGGTTTCAATAAACATTTGCCAAAACAAAAGAAAGATAACATCCAAGTTTGGTTAAGAAGTTATGAGAGGGTGCTTATCTCTACAAGAGGAGTGCATTCTGAGGCATGGGTGAGAAGGGATGTCGAAATAGTGGTTTAAAAAAGTAATAACAAGGGGTCATAGCATTCAAATGTTGAGTCTTGAGACACTATGTCTACATTATTTGTTGTTCTTGTGTGTGTGTGTGGTTTCCTTGGTAAACAGTCTGATATAAAGCAGTAGTTCAATGAGGAAGAAAAGTGTTTACAGAAATAAGCAATGTTATTTATTAACCACCAAGTGAAGAAATAATAAAAATAACTATAGCTTAAAAAAAGTTGAGATTGTATACCTGATTAAGCATCCATTTGAAGCCAACTGCAGCCGAGCAATGATTCTTTGAAGCACTACTTAACCAATCCAAGTTGTAAACTCTATCCAACGTCTGCATAATTGAAGAAATATTATCCCTCCTCTCTTGAACATAGAATATCTCCCCATTGGAACTCACATTCATATGACTATTTAACAGTGTCTCAAACCATCCACTCCCAGATCTCTGCATTGAGACAATGGCAAAGAATCGAACAGGATTGCACGCACATTCAGCCCTGAAATGAACCAGAACACAACATTAGCAAAATCCAAATCAGTCCCAGATTCAAAACCAACATCAACAATTCATTTCTCACTAACCTGCTAAATGTTTCAGGCTTCGGGTAATGCAAGTAGGGAATTTGGGATTTATCGATGTCATAATCAGGATAAGACCTCTCAATGACTTCAATGCTTAGAAATTCAGTCTTGGTGTGGGTGTTTGATTGCTTTATGCAAATCGAACAGATATACAAACCACAGACCATTGCGAAAATTAAAACTACCGTCCTTAACAGTACTGGAGATTTCTTGGAGGGCTTTATGATGAGAGTATCCTGTGATCCAAAAATAATGCCCAAATATCAAGAAGCAAATTATAAATAAAATAAAATAAAAACCCTAATTGAGGAATTAAGTAAAACAAAAAGAGTAGAAGATAGAAATTATAAATTCCACGGGAATAAGAAAACTAGTCAGGGGGAAAATCATTGTGAATTTAAGACTGAAAAAATGTGGGAAAAAACAAAATAAAGAAATGCCGGTTTTATTTTATAAAACAGAAACTAAAAATTCCACATATAAGAAATATATTGATAGGTACAGAACAACGCAGTTCAGAAAATGCATATAGCTATACATTCTTCTTCAAACTCAACTACATATATTACACACACACACGCACAAATCAAAACAAAACAAAAAAACATTTTTTTTTAATAACAGGGAAATAATAAAGATAAAAGGCATCCTTCAAACCATCTGTATTAATTGCAAACCCATAAATCAAGAAATAATAAAAGATGAATGCAATGTGGGTTTCAAAGTATCCGAAGCCAGATCAGGGCATGCAAAGATTCACTTCAAACCCATTTCGAGTTAGCTTCCATAAACATCAACGGATTACCAATCCGCAACAAATTTTCAAAATAAAAGCTTGGGTACAAGAAGAAATAAGACATTTTCAAAATCACCGAACATACGCCTCAAAAAAAAAAAAAATTAAGGGGAAAAAACAGAGAACAAACCCACAAATTCAAGGTTGAAATGGATCAAAAAGCAAAAGCGAAAAGGGAAAGAAACAAGAAAAATGGAAATTTTATAGTTACCTTATTGACGAAACAGATATATTCCGCCATAGCAAAATCGAGAGAGAGAGAGGAGAAAAGAAAAAGGGTTTCTGCAGAAGTCAGATTCTTCTTCTCCTCTTCATCCCCTTTCTGTTCCACATTTCAGCTGGACCACTTGTCAAACATTGTACATATATGTAGAGAGACAGAGAGAGAGACAGAGAGAGAGAGAGACAGAAATCTGAGTGAGAAGCTAAAATCTAGGGAGGTGGTGAAGAACAAATGGAGGGGGCTCTCTAGTCTTGCTGGTCTCTTTCAGATTCACTTGTATTCTATTCTATTCTATTCTATGTATGTCTTTAATAATTATATATGTATATGGGTCGTACGTAACTAGTAATGGTAGTAGAGTCGTAGTGGGGGTGCAATTCAAAAACATTACAGCAATACTCATAAAATAATACTAAAGTCTCTTTTGAAAAAAATTATTATTTTTAGCAATATAATTATTATATTTTAAAATTATTTTTTAATAATATAATTATAACACTTTAAAAATATTAATATTTAAATTTAAAAAAATAAAATAAAAATTTCATGTTATCTGTATTTTTAATTTTTAAAAATAAATTAATATTTTAAAGGAAAAATCACTCATAAATCTAATTTAGAAAAATGTTAGTCCATTTAGTCGTACATGTTTTTTTATAAATCAAATAGTCATTTTTATTTATAGTAGTATGTATTATTAATTTGATTTAGTAATATTTGAGTTTGCTTATTTGCCCTTTATTGTGATTATGTTTTTTATTTTTTTTTAAAGATTGAGTGAAAACTGACCTTTTGCTACTATATAATTTGCGACCATCTGATTAGCCGTCGCAAATAATCAATTTACCCCTTTATTTTCTTCTATTTATTTTCCCCTTTTCTTTATACTTGCCCTAGCCCCTCCACAGACACCGATTGTTCTCTTTCTCTCGCTCTCTCTCTGTTTTTTTTAGTAGTGTGGATAAGGTATGGTTTAATATTTCTTTTTTTTTTAATGGATTTCGTGGAGTGATTGTGGAGATTATTGATGTTACCTACTTGGTGATGTTAAATCATTTGCGTTTTTTTGGGAAGGCGTGTGGACTGTATCGTTCACATTTACCTACGTAACATCAATCCAGAGTCACATTGTCATACCATTAAGCCTCTCACTAACAACCTATAACATTAGCACCAAACACCAATCACATAACATAACATCGACACAGTCTGACAATCTCCGACAATTAACAGCCACTACCTTCTACTATTACCAAACTCCACCAATACTTTCAGGTATAGATCCTCCCATTAACCCCCAATATTACAAAATTCACATCCAATCATACAAGCATTAGCTACAACACCACGTATCTGTTACATTACATACATGCACAACATCACATTTGTAATTACTTGTAACCCCCAAACCCGTGAAAATATTACAATATTAACCATGTGCCTGTCACATTACGAATATGCACAACGTCACATTTGCAATCACTGGTAAACCCAAAACCTTCGACGTGAACAAGATCACCTAAAACCTCACATGACGCACCAATTAAACAAAAATCCATTTCGAGCATCGACCTTGATGTCGTATTGCTTCACAAACAACCGAACTAACATCGAAGACACCCAAACTTGTTGTCATCGCACTAACATACGATCAATGATGCCGTCAAGGGATTAATTTAAATGGCCGACGTTACGTCTTCAATGTTAATTGCACTCTAAGGTGTCCCAGTGCCCATACCATTTCACCCTTCGTAAATTTGATAGAAAGGGGTTTTTTTGATTTTCTAAGGTTTTTTTTTTTGAGGGTTTTGTAATGTTATTTGGGGAATAACAAATTCTGGGTATGATGTTCCCAATTCCAGCATTCAACTCACACAAACTGATGATCAACACTGCAACATCGTCAAAGAAACGTTGACGTTCTCATTTTTGAGCTTCTGTTTTATTCGCAATGGAGGGAAAATGAAAAAAATGCTGTAGTATACCTTTGAATTTTTTGGTAACTACAACATCACATAAATATCCAATATATCTCTTCAAATAGTCAATCCATGCGTTACATTTGTGGGCTCAAGTGTAATTAATATTGACATGGGACCAACCAGTCTACAAAATAAATTGTAAGACTAAATTATTCAAACTATCTAAATTTGAAATTTATTAATGTTTTCTCCTATTTTAAAATAATAAAAAATAAAATAAAAGATTAATATTTTAGGATTGAAAAAATACCAATTGAGGTTACAACAGAAGGCGTGCGAATTGGTAAAGGCCGGTGCACTTGAAGACCTTTGACTTTGGTTCGGTTCGATGAAATCATCGCTTGTTTGCCCCTTTCCCAACCCTGCAATAAAAGTTTAAAAACTATTTGAGAAAGGTATTAATGTAAAATGTAAAAAAATTGTATAAAAAGTAATGCATTGAGTTGTGAGTCTTTTTAATTTAAAATTGACAACTCATTTAGATGTATTTTATTTATATATGAAAAAAAAGAAGTCACTTTTCTGATATTTTGGTGAATCATTTTATATGAAATTTTGAAGGCTAATAATATTTGTCTTATAAGACGGAAAACAATCACTTTTAAATATAAAAGTGCTTTTTTAATTGAAGCTCAAATAAATAAAATTGTAAAGTTAGTTGTTAAACTAAATTATAACGATGAATACTTTCAATTGAAGGTTAGGCCGTGCATTTAATATGGTATTAGAGTCAAAAGTTGTACTTGTGTTATGTGGATGTAGCAATGTAGACATTCCACACCAATTTCGAACAATATTTAAAATGAATTTTATAAGATTGTGCACAATGGTTGGCATTGGGCTTCTAGGTTAGCCCTCGCTCTCAAAATTGCTAGCTAATCTTGCATGTGAGGTAAACTTCGTGTAATTATTTTTTGACAGGCCAGATCAAGCTAGTCTGGGGCCAAAAATTTTAGGCCCCTTAGTGTAATAGGTTTGACCTAGATGGGCTAATTGGTTAAGATTTAGACATACTTAAAGCTTTTAATTTTTTTTTCCTATTTTCTTACTCATAGGCCTGATTTGCAGATTGACTCCCATAACTCTCGAGTCAATAGACTGAGTTTCAACACCTAGATCTAGACTCAACCTAAGCTTGTTCAAATTAACGTAACATGCATCGAGATAAGGGCTTAGATTGGATAAAAGTTAGACATGTCATACCCAAGTCTTCGAGAGAAATGATAATTTTTGACATATGACACATTTAACTTAAAATATCTTTTAAGTTGTAGCTCAAAAAAAAGAACTTGTGAGACCATCTGTTAAACTGAATTATTATGACAATGTTTTGAAACGAGCACGAGGCCACCCATTCTAATAATATGCATAGACTTCCTTGTTTTTAGAGGAACATTTTTGTCATCCTTAATTGAGCATTACCTTATAGAGGCATGCATGCTAATTGATTTGCATATTCATTTATGTTTAAGAAATATAAGTCACCGACATTCTCATACTTCACCTAAGATCATCTTGATCCACAGAAACAAATTATAATCAAGATGATTAGGGTCTAAACACCTAATAAGATTAACTACCTCTTGAAAGTTTGCTTCGAATTCAACTTTCTTCTAATTGTGCAACATTTTTTTTTGGTTCCAATGAAGTTATACGATTGTTTTACTCCTTTATTTTGGTGTGCACAGTTGTCACATTATAAATGGAGCTAAAATGATGTTGATATGGGCTACAAAATGGATCTCATGGTTGAGCAAGGATTCTCTGTCCCTAAATATTCCCGTTCCTCTGTCTCAAATTACTTACAACCATTAAATCATATGAGAATCTCAAGATTTGAGAATCTTAAGGCATATTTAATGGTTGTGAGTGATTTGGGACAGAAGGACAGGGGGACAGGAATATGTGGGAACAGGAGATCCATGGGCCTCATGGATTACACCATTGTGTGTCTCAATTAAAATTGTTCACTATGTAAGAAATGCCCATTAAAATATGTTCCCTTTGAACCCAATGGATGTGCAATTATGGAATAGAAAGGACCACAAGCATGGAATTTTGATCCTGCACCAATCTTTATGTTAGCTTATTCAATATCATGGATTGTCCATGAGATCATTACTTTGCTTTTGACTTTGTATTTACGCAAACTAGATGTTTTAGCAACACAAAAAATAAACAGTTTATTGACATAGGCCATTTTGAAAAGTAGAAAGAAAAAAAAAAAAAAGTCAGTTATTGATTTATTAACTTATTTGGATCACATTACTTTTCTATTTTTTTTACGTTTTTTCAAAAAAAGCAAAAAAATAAAAATAAAAAATCAATTAGTTAGCTTTTTTCCTAATTCCCAAAACAAGTCTCATTGACTTATTTGGGTCCCACTATCTTTTTACTTTTTATAATAAGTAAAAAAAATAAAAAATAAGCCATACCCAAATTGATTATAAAATTGGAATGGGAAAAAGAATGTATGGACTAGACCATGGATTATTAAAGCCTTTCATTTTTATGTCTGATTTTTTCATATTAATTATAATTATGTAACTCTGTTAGTGTAAAATTTCAATAAGGCATCAATGAGGGGTTTGTGATGTCCTCAACGTACCAAATGAGTTTGTCAGTTTAAACTTAGAAATCTAAGCGGTTTATCATTTCGGAAGTACCTTCTTTTTGTAACTACTTCATCATTGGAAGGAAATTAACATATAAAGCATGTTTTACTACCAAGTGTTTCATATTTATAATTCGAACAGTTTATTTTATATGACACACAATGTTTATTATTTATGAAAAAAATTAAATTTATCAAATAATCGTAAAATTCATATTATAAAAAAATAACAAATCAATGGGAAAAAAAAAAATTCAAAAACATAACGGTGCAAGTGGAGTATATGTTTTGACACAAGTAATTACGTTTTTCATTTACACCAGAACACAAAACCACCTGCATCTTTATGTTTTCCAAATATTTTAAATCCTTTTAATTGATTTGTAATGTCTTCGGTCTGTATTATAATTTATATGTTCTCAATGAAGTCAAAACAATATAGGTTCAATTTAATCACTTTTTTCTATCATGCTTTGTCAGCTAGTATTATGGTCTCTTTTGGGAAGTGTGTTAAAAGTCACTTCTCAACTTTTAATTCATTTTGAATTATATCATCTCTCATATTTTTTACACGTTTAAAAATAAAAAAATAAAAAAATCAACTTTTAACCATTTTTCCAAACCAACCCTATCTTTATCATGCATCCAAAAGGTCACAGA